TCTACAACCAGCTGACAATTTAATCTTTGATGATAAGAAATGAATCTACATACATGAAACTCTTTAGTCAATATCCTTTATTCTTCTGAGTCAGCATTTTCTCTACACAGCTTCTATTCTGCTCTCGTACCTAGCTCCTTTCTTACCTGATTTCTCTCTACATTTATCTACTGTCCCCTCTAAGTTCTATCTTAATTCTCTCATCTTAGTTCTGCTCCATCTAGGTTCTCATCTATCTAGTTCCCTCCCATCTTAGCTCCTCTCCCATCTCCTTCTTTCTTATCATGTTCTTCCCCATCGGGCTCTTCCTCATCTTCCATCTCGTTCCTCTAGTGCTCTCTTCTAGCCCTTCAGTCTAGTTCTTCCCCATCTCAGTACATTCCTCTCCAGTTCTTACCCATCTAGTTCTTCCATTCTCTTTTCTCTTCTCCATCTCATCCTACTCTGAAAATAAAACTGCCTTTTTATCTCTTTAACCCTTATCTCTTCAAACTATCTCTGCTCCTGCTGTTTCTGGTGAGTGTGCTCAGTCTCTAGGCAACTTGGCTAGGCAACTTCCATCACAGCTCGATGTACCTGTAAGTTGGAACCCTTAGTTCTGAGTTAATTGTTAAGGGTGGATCTAAAACTAGAGATAAGACTTTGGAAAGGAGAAAGTAAAGCTTAATTAGCACATCTGCCCGGCCTTCTCAAACAGGTAGTCTGGACACTTAAGTCTGTTCTTAAAGAGTACAGAAGTATCTCTGATGAGGCACTTTCCTCCGTCTGGGGATGGTCCTGGCCAGATGCTGCCAATGACGATAATTACAGAGAGGCTTGAAACAGGGTTCTGACTGTGCATAGCTGTCAGCTCAGAAGTTTATCCAAATATTCCTAGAAGTGGTTAGATAAGGAGTTAGAGGTCTATAAAGCTAGTAAGTCCATAAGAAAAGGAGAGTCCGAGCTAAATTGTGCAAAATCTAGGCAGTGTCTCCATGTGGAATTTATCTTAATTCAGGAGACTTATTATGTGGTAGTTTGGACTGTTATTTCTGTTAGTCCTTTAATGTGATCAGGGGAGATATCTGATTCCAATGCTAAAAGAAGAAGAAACAGATGGGCCTGAAAGAAGGAAGTCTTTCCTGAGGTTGTTCTCCAAATACCTCGAACGTGTATGTCCAAATAGTGATCAGTCCACACTATTAGCAATTCTTAGGGAAAAAAATCAATTGGGAAAGCTATGAAGGCACACATGATTTTTATAACAAAAGACAGCTGATTTATAACAAGCCAAATAACACCAAATGCTCCCTAGAATTTGGCTTCCTCTGAAGGAATTCCTTGATCCCTTCAGGTAGTGGCTTTGCCATAACCAGCTGAGTTCTTATAATATATTCCTGTGGCCTGTAGCATTTTAGGGTGTGTTGATGGAAAAGGTGAACTAATTGAGAGCTTAGCCAGGTTATTCAAAGTTGTAGGGGACACCTTGCTGTGTGCAACCTTTAGGGATACTTCCTAGAAGTTAAGAAGATAAATGAGATTCCTGACTAATCAAAAAATACTTCTGAAGGTCAGCAGTTTCTGTATCTTTGCTCTTAGGAGGCTCTCAAAATGACCTAATTAAGGTGTCAGGAGGTGAACAGTTTCAGATAATTTAGGCAATAGAACACTGTATTCTTTTCGACATGTAGATCAAGAGGGTACAGTATTAATGGATCCTCTCTAATGAAATTATACCTTTTAATCAACAATCATACATTGTTATTCACTTTCTGAACTAGCTTTCCCAGCTGAGTCTATAGAAGGAACAGTAAGGTCATGAATGATGCAAATCCTGCTTCAATCCAGCAGTCGATTGTATTTTTTTCATGGTTGTATGAACTAATGAGTTGGGGAGAGGATGCAGTCACAACTATTTCATTACAACTTAGACTTCTTTTAACAAATAAAACAGCACTATCCACAAATTTAAAGAAAAAGAGTTACATTTTTAACAAAATTTTACTTAATAAATATCAAAGTGTGTTACTTTTGTCTATTTATTCCACTAAAAATTGCAAAGACAGCTCAATCCAGAAGAACATCCCAGTGCTCTTCCTGAGTATAGCCACAGTCCATTAAGAGAAAACTCATTTCTATTCATGATTTTTGTCTCAAAAGATACATTCAAACAAAAGTACATTAAAATAAGTCAAGTGAGATGGAAAATAACTTCAAGGTGAAAAACTGCTGACTATTCAAAGGTATTTGTTCATGTCTTTCTTAATTATGCTGAGTGACTGTGATACATAAAGTTCATTGATAACATTAAAAATCAGTGTGTATTTACATTTCCATATCTAGAATATCCTATCCTGGAAATTATAACTCTCACAACTATTTAACCTTACTATTAAAGGTTTTAAATGTTACTGTCTACGTCTGTTAAGGCCACAGCTATCTATAGATTCAAAGAATTTCTCTCAAAATCTTAATGACTTTTTTTTTTCAGAAATAGAAAAATAGAAAAGCTGGGCTTGGTTACACACACCTGTAACTCCAGTACTCTGGAGGCTGAAGCAGGAGAATCATTTCAACTCCAGCCTGAGCTACTTAATGGGACTGTCTCAAAATGAAACAAAACAGAAAAAAAAAAGGAAAAAATACAGGGGAAATGAAAAAGTTTCCCTAAATTCTCGTGGCATGTGGATGGACTTCCGGGTATCTAGAACCATCGTGAAAGGGAAGAGCCAAGTCGAGGGGCTCAGAAAGCAAAGCTGAAGTATTCATTCACAGAGGTGTGGCACTGGGGACAGACAGACATGTGGGCCATGGGATCAAGAAAAGGGCTAGACACAAACCCATGGACGTGGGGCGAAACGATTGTCAAAAGGGTGCCAAGACCCTTCAGTAGGGAAAGACGATTGTCAGGGACTGACTCTGCGCAAGCTAAGAGAGGGAGGTTTCATTCTGCTTGATGTTTCAGGGATTTCTTAGCTAAGACACCAAAAGTACATTCAACAGAAGAAAAAGATGAATAGGAACTTAACAGAATTACACATGTTTTGTATAAAGGATATTATCAACAGTGAAAAGCAAGAGATGAAATAGAAAAATATTTGCAAAACAGGATAAGGAATTGGTGCTCTAAATATAGAAAGAACTGCAATGTAATAACAAAAACCAGATTTTTATTAAAAAAAAAAGAATAGACAAAGATGTGGAAGTGACCGATTCCTATATAAAATTGTTCTCAACGTCACTCATTATCAGCATCATAATGATGTTGCTGTGTACCTCTTAGACTGGATGCTGGAAAAGCACAGCAAGAAATCAAAGGGCAGGAAATCGTGGTGCTGAGGAGGAATAGAACTCACCCTGCTGTTGGGATAGCAGCATGAAACAGGAACTGGGAAGATGGTTTAGTACAGTGGTTCTCAACCTGTGGGCCGTGACCCCTTTGGAGGTCAATGACCATTTCACAGGGGTCACCTAAGACCATCAGAACACACAAGTAATTTACATTAAGATTCCTAACAGTAGCAAAACTGCAGTTATGCAGTACAAATGAAATAATCTTAAGGTTGGGGGTCCCCCCAACATGGGAGCTGTATTAAAGGGTCACAGCACTAGGAAGGCTGAGAACCACTGGTTCAGTGGGTCCTTTGTGTGAGTCCCAGATTTCCCTGGCTCCAGTGGGTCCCTGTCTACCTCAAGATCAGAGTATCAAGGACCCAAACAGATGTTTTGTATTGGTGTCGAGGGCCCCCAGTGGGAAACAACCCAAGTATCCATGTGTAAATGAGCCCACCTTGGCATTTTAACTCCAAAAACAAAAGAATGAAAGAGCCAAACCTTGTTAGATGAATGAAGACGACAAATGCCTTCTGACGGAGATAGCCAGAGCAGCCGAGTTCCTCTAGACAGAACCTGAAATGATCCCAGAGACACCAAAGGAAGTCAGGGGAGACTGACTCACGGGGAACAGTCTTGAAGTCAGGACCGACAAAGGCTTGGGAGGTGGAGGCTGCTGATGGTGGCACAACCCTGTCAGCGTCCTCAGTGCTACCCAACTGAAAGCTAAAAAAAGTTCAAAACGGCAGATTTGTTACACATATTTTTCCACAGTAAAACATAAATATATTGGGGCCATTTTTCAAATGTGCAGATACATAAATCGTAAAAAGGGAACATATGTACGTACAGCTATTTGCATGTTTAGACTAACCTGCTAGTCGAAGGTCTTCCCACTTTCTTTTCCTCCTCTCCACCCCAAAATCCACACCCTGTACACTCCCACAAACTGCTCCCCTTCATTTTCAGGGCCCCCTGCCTTCCAGGGCCCTAGCCCCTTTGGAGATGCTGTGCTGACTCCTCCAGAGAGAACACTGTGCTCCTTCTACGATATTCCCAAAAAACCTTCCTAGTCCTCAACCAGACTGAACTGTTTCAATAAGAAGGGAACCACGGAGAGCAGCAAGCAGCAAGAAAAAAAAAAAAAAAGAAGCAAGTAAGAACATCAAGGAATGTTTTTTTTTTTTAAATGGACAGGATGGAGCAGTCAGAGAATCATTTGCCTTGAGTTCAGTCCCCAGAATCCACATATAAAAGCCAGCCTGGTATGATGGCGTGAGCCTGTGTTCAGCACTTGGGAGGCAGAGGCAAGAGGATGCCTGAGGCTTGTTGGCCAGCAAGTCAAGCATAGTTGACGAGACCCTCCCTCAAAGGAGGTGGACAGAATTTCTGAGGAGGATACCCAAGGTTTTCCTGACCTCTGTATACTTGCGCGCGCACACGCACGCACGCACGCACGCACGTGCACACACGCATACACACACACACACACACACACGCATACTCACATGTATACACATTCATGAAAAAAAAAAACTAAATAAAACAGGAACTCTTCTCTCACAGTACTCCTCTGAGAGAGTAAACAGAGGCCTTTCCCTCCATTTCCAGAACAAAACACAAAGTCCACACCTCACCCGGGCAGTAGCTGGAAGGGACTGAACAGAGATGCAGCAGAGCGCCCGAGTTCTCCCTGACCGTCTTGATCTGCCGAGCCAAGCACTAAATCTTACTGTCAATAAGTTAAGAGCATTGTTTTATTGGTTATAAACCTCATGTTCTCAAATACTTGCCATAGGTCCTGCCCATAAATGAAATGATCTTACACATATTTCTGCTCCCCTTGCACAGCACAGCCCTGCCACCGTTCCTGCAACAGGAGGTTGAGCGCAGCTGCGTCATTAATGAACGATAGCAGATCCCAGCCAGTGACCTCCAGATGAAAGGCTCATTATTTCCTTATGGGTCTCCAGAGCCATTTGGTCCCATAGCATGCCAGCACGAGATTTCGACTGAGGAGTTGAAGCCTTGAACTATAAAAAAAAAAATGTTTTACATAGTCCTTGATACAATTTAGAGCGATTACATTCTATTGTGCCAAGAGTTCCTTATTAAAAATCAATTTAATTGTGCATACCCCATCTGGTCAGAATTATGGTCTTTTATGGGGGAGAAAACACAACTTCATATTTACCTGATATTCTATAGTTTAACAGTATAACCATATAATTATGTAGAAACAGAGGCATTTCATTGTACTGAGAAATTAGTAATTAAAGACACTTTTTAAAATGTTTACCAGGCTTCCCTTTACTAACTTTGTGGCTTTGGGCCATAACATTCAACTTGCTGGGTCATCTGAAATTTGAATGGAAAAGGAAAAAAAAAAAGTAATAAAATGTATAATCACGCATCTTATGTTATATGCATTTGATGTGATAATTTTTGTTTTATGCTTTTTCAGATTCTAGTCCCTTTAAACAATATCTGTTGTTCCAAGAGCATTCATTTGCATGCTTTTATTCAAGGAATTTGGATAATAAATATCACTTTTGAAGTTTACTTTTTGTTGTCTGCTGGGTCAGTCCCAACTGTGTTAGGAATATGTTAGCTCAGAATATTACTGGGAAAAAATTCAAGCTAGAAGGGTGAGAAAAACTTTTGTAGCCTACTTCCCAAACCCCAAAGAACCTTTGCATCTTTAACTTGACATTTGCAGAAAAATCTGGGTAAATTTTCTCAATAATTTTTCCATTTAGAAAGTGTTTTTGTTGATATTACTGCCTTAAAATATCAGGAGCAAATTAGTGATAGATTTGATATTGAATTGCCTTAACATAAATGTTTTGAAAACAACTTACACGATATGCACGATTCGCCATTAATACCTGTGGTCTTTAAGCATCGATTTAGTGTGGACCTCGCGCTTCCCTTCTCTATGATCCGATCTCCTCACTGTGAGATGGAATTATAGTTCTTAGGGTAGCAATGAGGTTCCAGTGAGCTCATCCACTGGGGGAATAACAAGGCCTTGGACTTCCTAGCAGCATCATGCTTCCTCCTGTTTGGAAAATGAAGATAGTGATCCATTCTGAGATTTCATTCTCAGAAAACTTTTAAGAGTTAAGATGAACATATCATGTGCTCACTTAGCTTCCTCTTGAAGTATTCCTATTCGGTGAGCATCCCTTATTACTGTACTCCGAGCACTGTACCAGGTCTGAAGGATGCTATCATGAATCAAACCCATACAACCTTTGGCCAGATGGGGTAGCCAGAAAATGCAACAAAGCTTAAAGAGTGTGGCAGGCTAAGAGAAAGCTGAGTGTAGTGGGGTACCCAGAAGACTGAGTTCTTTTCTTCTGTGTAATTTTCCAAAGTTGAAGTAACATCTATGTGCTGTGAGGACAATGGTCGTGCATATAGCTAACAGTATTCCTCCCATCTGCCTTTGCTTCTGCTCAGCCATCAACAGGAGCAGTGGGGCCAGCCTTTGGCGCTCTCTCTTGGGCTCTAATAAATGTATATGAATGCGCCCCTTTATACGCTCTCACAACACCTAGATCCTGTGTACACCATTCTCCTTTTATTGTTTGTTTTATAGGTTTGCCGTGTTTGCTCCCGGTTTTTACATGTCCAGTATTGACTGAACGAGCAAAAACTCTCCCAAGAGTTAAAATGGGGCTGTGCCTGGCTACCACATTTTTTTTTTTTTTTTAGTCTCTGTTTCATTTTGGCTTCTCGGTCATATAACTTATGAGACAAAGGATCACTGGAGGGGGAAGTTTCTAGAGACTGTCACCTCTCCTGCTCTTGTTTCCCATACCCCTTCCTCTGTATTACACCTTTGATTTTTCCCTCAATTTCCTATCTACTTTTTTTTTTTTTTTTTTTTTTTTTGGTTCTTCAAGACAGGATTGCTCTGTGTTGTTTTTGGTGCTTGTCCTGGTGCCTGTTCTGTAAACCAGGCTGGCCTCGAACTCACAGAAATCTGCCTGGCTCTGCCTCCCTAGTGCTGGGATTAAAGGCGTGAGCCACCATCACCCAGCCCTATCCACATTTTTTAAATGCTTAATATTTCACAGATCTGCTGAAGTCACATGATCTCTACTAAAGAATTTTAGTGTCTGGGCCAAAAAGATGGGTCAGTGGGTACAGCATGCTGTTTGTAAGTCTGTTGACTGGCAACAGTTGCCTGAACCCACATAAACTAGAAAGTGAAAATAGATTCTACAATGTTCTATGACCTCACACATACACAATAGATTTATCATATACAATAACAAAAATTTGTTTAAAAAGAATCTCAGCCCTCTAAACAGACATTTACTTTCCCAACCACCTGCCCCCAAATAATCCGTTGGAGGCTTATTGTAATTACAAAATGCTGGGCCATAGCTCAGGCTTATTGCTAATTGGTTCTTACATTTAAATTAATCCTTTCTATTAATCTGTGTATTGCCACATGGCCTGTAGCTTTGCCAGGCCTCTGGCATCTTGCTTCTTGGGCTGTTCATTTGCATCTCTCCCAGCTCCGCCCTTCTTCACCCCAGCCCTCAGTTTGATTGTTCCCCCCAACTTTATCCTGCCTTGCTATAGGCCAAACAGCTTTACTATTAGCCAATGAGAGTCATAAATATTCTCAGCATTCAGAAGGATCATCCCACAGCACAGCCCCTTACTCTTTGCCTTTGCCGTCCATGGCCAACAAAGTTGTAAAACAAGGCAGTGTTTTTATGAACCAGTGCTTTTATTGATGGCACATTAATTTCCAGAAATAGAATTTTAGAAGAAGGATGTATTTAGTTTTTTGCTTTTAATTCATAGGCCAGGTTAAATGGGAGCAAGGATAAAGCAGCAATTTGTCATTGAAACAAATGTCTTTAATTTCAGTTCATTGTCTCAGACCTGATGTGCAAACCAGTAGATCAAGCTGCAGTTGCCCTTCAGTAAGAAATCAGACGGCTAATTCGTTCCATCATTCTCTGAAGGACACTTTTCCCTCCCATACTCTTCCAGGCACCTAGAAGGACAAGCCATCCCTTTTCCCAAGCCAAAAATTATCTATGAAACACGTTGGCTGTTAGCTGGGAACAGTGACAGGTAGGACCCACCGAGGTTGAACAATGGCGGCCGCTCCTCCAGACAGGAGCCTGTACAATTAGCCAGCAAGGTTACTGCGCTCTTGGCAGCCAGGCAGCAGTTAAAGCAAAGAAGGATCTTTCTCCAAGAAGGAAAAGCCATTTAATAAGTTTGGGTCAGTTTGCTCCTAACAGCCCTACGTTTGAGGACCCAAACCCCAGGAGCTTGGCAAGAGGCAGTACTTGGCAGGCCTCCCACCAACCCACCAAGTCTGAGGCTGCCCAGTCTAGGCTTTGGCTTGGTTCATTTAAGAGCATTCCTGGTTAATAAGAAAGTTCAGGCCGAGGAATCTTTCCTCGCATTAATCCAAAAGAGTCAAGCGCAGTGGCCACAAGCACGCGCCCTCCAGAGCTGCCAGCGGAGGGGACGGGCCATTTGTTTGCCCTGAGGGCGGTGTTTGCTCTGTGAACCTGAGAGCCAGTGGCCCACCAAAAATGACCTTAGTGTTCAGGAATTGGGCGGTGCTGTGTTTTATATATGAATTAACATTTGTATATGACTAAGTGGTGTGGAAGCCTGATTTTATGGTGTGTCAGAGACCATCGTGTACCTGCCTCAGGAGTAAATAAAATAAAACGAAGTCTGTTGGTATAAATGTTTGAAAATACAGTACATTTTCCTACTTTTCCCTTTACCTATGAAAATCTTGCCATAGGAAATCAAGTTTGAATTTTTACAGGGGTGGGGGAGAGAAACAAACAGCTCATGAGTTTTGAAATTATAAGATGCATTTGGGGGCGGGGGGAGGGGCTTGTTTTGTGTATATTAGGTTTCATTTTCCTCTAACCCCACCCCCCAAAAAAATAGTTCCAATCAAATGAACAGGTCTAATCATCCAATGACTGGTGAATGGAATGCAGATGGAAATGTTAAGAATGAGTTTGTTTACACTTCCAAACCCAGCAGCACCTGCAAACGATAAAAAAAAAAATGAGTGCCAACACATCCAGACTGTGGTGAAACAGGCCTGTGCCAGCTGAGCTGTCAGAACAGCTGCTGCCCAGCTGGGGGAGGGGGGCGGGCAGCCCAGGGGGTGGATCCGAGTGTCCCCCAGAGACTTTTGTACCTGTGATTGGTGGGATCACTGTCCCAAGATCAATTCAGAGGAGACAAGAACTCTCTTAAGATTTTTTTTTCTTTCATATTAGAAAATTTCACGAATGTATGTAAGATGAATTGCTAAACGGTCTTATTAATAATTAAAAAAAAAAAAACCGAAGCCAGATATTGGGGTTAAAACTGAGAGATCAGAGGATAGGACAAGCTACAGTCAACCTCACCTTACCAACCCTCCACCTCCAAAGAGACCTACTTCCTGTATACCCGGGGCCTGTATGCCTTTCTGTCCCTGCCCCCTTACTTCCTCTCTCCGCCCCCAGCTACATCACTTCCTCTTTCTGCTCAGCTCTGTCACTTCCTGTCTGTCTGTACAGTCCTCCAGACCCTTATAGTTAACTAATGTTGGAATTTAAGGTGTGTGCCACCATGCCTGGCTCTGTTCCCATTGTGGCCTTGAACTCACACAGGTCTGGATGAATCTCTGCCTCCCAAATGCTAGTATTAAAGGCGTGTGCTACCATTGCCTGACATCTAGGTTTAATATAGTAGCTGGCTTTTTCCTCTAATCCTCAGATAAGCTTTATTAGGGTACACAATATACTGGGGGACCCAATATATCACCACAAATGTGGGTGTCTTGGTCATACAAAGTGTGTAGGAGCTCTTTAAAACAACTTCTCAGTGATTTGTTTTAGAAATTCATGGCTGTGTGGAGGTTTCAATTTGTGAAGTTGTTTAATTCACTTCCGGTGCTACACTGGCCCCTAAAGAAGGAGCCATGGCTTGGTCCTGCTTCAACCGAATGTACCAGGCTTTGCTGACCTCCATGGGAGCCCATACCTTTTGGAGAAGGGGATGGAGGGGACAGGTTTGGGGGGATAGCTGGAGGGGGAGCAGGAGGAGAGATGGGAGGGGGATCTGTGGTTGATATGTAGAATGAGTGAAAATTTTTCTTAAAATATATAAAAAAAAATCACATTCAGGATAACAAAACAGAATGACAGGAGAACCTAGGCCCGTGGTGACAGGGCAGAGCCCTCTCATCAGCTGATAAGCAAGGCCTCCCCCCAACTTACTGTCCCTGAGCTATGGCTTATAAATAGGAAAGCAAAGGCAATGTGCTCTCCTTGCTTCCCAGTGCCATTGGTTGACTTAAGTTTCTGGAGACAAAATTATACTCTGTCTGGTGCAAGCCACTGTTTGCACACCAATGAGCACTGAACCGGGAATGTTTTAGAAGTGTCTCAGGCTCCTCCACAGACCAGCTAAATGAGAATCTGTTCTTTCACAAGCTCTCCATGTGATCTGCATGCATATTAATGTTTTAGAAACACTGCTGTAGGGATAATTGGTTTCTCTGTATAAAATTTCTGATGCCCAAGATGACTCGGCAGCTAAAAGTCCTTGACACGAAAGCCTGAGCAACTCCAGTTGATGCCTGGAACCCACATACAGGTGGAAGGAGAGAACTCACTCCACAAAATTGTCCTCATGGCTGACTGTCATGGCGTGGATGCACTGCTGACCCCACACAAAAATGATAAAAAAAATTTTTTTAAATTAAAAGTTGCTCACTATTGTTTCCTAGGGAGTAATATATTGTTTGTTCATACTAAACCATGGTAAGGATTATCTGATGCTAAATTAGAGTAACAAAAGTGAGCTGAGTTCTTCAGATTATAAAGAGTGAAATGAAAGCACTCACGTAAAATGAGAAAACCACACCCCTGCCTCTTTGCTTGGGACAGGGGAGAGGAGACAATCTTGCTTTAAAATCCCAAGTCTCGGGAAGGAATGGAAGCATAGGTGTGCTGTATGAGATTTCACGTTTTTAATGAAACAAGAGCGATCTGCCCAGTGGTTTGGGAAGCAACAACATCACAGTGTGGGATATGCAAGGAGCCTTTCTTCCTAGACTGGGGCATGTGTAAAAGGCCTTCTAGATTCCCTTGCTTTTCCTCCCTCCTTTAGGAATACGGAGGCCATCCTGCACAGGTTTAAGGCAGCTAGCTGGCCTCCTCCACTTGATGCATGCATTCTAAGACTCGATTGCCTTCATACTGGGCCGTAATATCCTTCCGCCATCTTTAGTTTCTTGCTTCAAGTCTGAGTTCAAGGGCTCTATTCTGCAGATGAAGGCAGTGCAGACACTCACAGGTTTGGCGTGGAAGAGGTCATGCTCAAGTCTAGCAATCACTGATCACTAGCATCCTCTCGTTGTGTTGTTGGTACCAGGGGCTGACACCATCCTTGATCAGCAACCATCTTGTCATCCGTCTTCACCAAATAACCCCAAATTGGGAATTTTAGTGACAGAGGTTCAGAATAAATGAAAATTGTCTCCCTCTTTATGTTTCTGGGGTGGGGGGGAAGGAATCAGCCATGGTCACAGCTTTGTGCACCAGATTAGCCTAACATACCCAGGATTTTCCCATAATGTGTTACTGACAGTTGGGGGTCAGGTCAGGTCATTGTCAGGGGCTCTCTTGGGCTGTGTAGGGGGTTCAACAGATTCCATGACAGTTAGCATCCTCCTTCAGGTGGTGACCATGGAGGGGATCTCCACACAGCATGAAATGTCTCCTCCTTGGCAACTTGTCTGTAGTTGAAAACTGCCTCCGTTATGTAAATAAAGCACAGATGTTTTAAAGACTCACAGCATATGTAGAGGCATATGTGAGTCTCCCCTTTGCTACCCAGAAAGAACTATCTAGAGATAATGACTGTTCGGGTCTATGATGCATCCCAGCAAGACATCACGTGTATGTCAGCTTATACTTCTTTTCTGTAGTCATGACCTTTCAATGTGAGCTTTGCTGGATTTGAGGGATTTTAGGTTTAGGTTTGGATGTTGTTGTTGTTTTGAAGGATTTTTGTTTGTTTTTTATGTCAGTTTGTTTTTTGTTTTGGTTTGTTTTGAGACAGTCTTGCTATGTAGTCCAGGCTGGCACCAAGCTCAAGACCCTCTTGCCTCAGCCTCCAAAGTGCAGGGCTTTCAAGAGACAACCTTGTTTTGCACCTTGATTTTCCTTTTCATGATGTGTCTAGGAGTTTTCTTTATGACAACTGATGCACATGGATTTATATGACTCTTGTAGATGGATTACTGTGCTTCATTAAGCAAATGAGTACTCTACAGCCACCATCGTGTGGTGTATGCAGGTTCTAGTTTTTCAAACAATGTCAAAGCAAACACGTTTATATTCTTGTGTTGAGTACCACACAACTGAAACTGTAAGACTTAAAATAATGAAGGATGTGTTTCTGGAAGTGAACTCCTCAAGACGAAGGAAAGTCCTTCCAACACTTGTCAGTAATGCTGCAATCCTAGCTAAGGAGTAGAAAAGCTAGTTCTTCAACTTGTCAACCTTAGGTCTTTGTCTACCTGGTGGGTAGAAAGTGATAACCCTGTGAGGGATGTTTAATTAAAAATGACATTTCTGAGGGACTCCAAGGCAGCTACGTGGTGGAGTGCTTGGCCTGGCAACCTGGTCTCTGGGTTCATCCCTAGCCCAATTACAGAGCAAAGAGGCAGACAGTGCAGTGGATTACTGCTTCTCTGCTCGCTACTCAGAGAGAGAGAGAGAGAGAGAGAGAGACAGAGAGAGACAGAGAGAGAGACAGAGAGACAGAGAGACAGAGAGACAGAAGGGGGAAAGAAAGGAAAGGAAAAAGTATGAGGAAAGAAGGGAAGGGGGAGAAGCAGGGTGTAGCCATAAGTTTTCCTGTGTCCTGCAGCCTTTCCGTCCCAAGTAAACACATAGAGGCTTATATGAATTACAAATGTTTGGCCTACGGCTCGGGCGCACCATTAACTAGCTCTTACAACTTAGTTCAAGCTATTTTTATTAATCAATGTTTACCAGATGGCTTTATGCATTACCTGTGTTCCAACACATCTTGCTCCTCCAGCAGTGCTCAGCATCTCCTTTGACTCTGCTTCCTTTTCCTGTCCCTCTGCTTGGAGTTCCCCGCCTGGCTCTATTCTGGCTTGCCATAGGCCAGAGCAGCTTCTTTATTAACCAATGGGAGCAACACATATTCACAGCGTACAGAAAGACCATCCTGCGGCAGCAGGGTGGGTCTGATTCGGCTGGCTTGTGAGACAGAGTTAGGAATTTGACTTTATTCTAATAGTGTTTTCCCCCATGCTTTTAAAAAACGTTTCTCCTGTATAGAATACATGTTTTAGATTTTTCTTTTTTTTTTTTTTAATCTGCTGAGCAGTCTGAATTTTAACCAATATAACAGACATATGGTATTGCTTCCTTTATGTTGTCAGGGTTTGATTTTTCTTTGGTTTTCATGGCTTGCTAAGGTACTTGCCACATTGTTTCACGGATACTTCTGAACTTTAGCCGCCTGCCTCTGTTCTGATGGCCCGCTGGGGAGCCTGCTTCACCGGTTCCCTTTGCAGGTTAATTGCCTCTTCTCATTGGATATATTGCATTAATTTTATAACATTTCAAAATTTAGGCTGGGGGAGAAATTCAGTTATAGTACATATACTTATCATGCATGTGACTGTAGATTATAAAAGCCCCAAGACTAGAAGTCAAAAATTAATAAACACACTAACTCCTATGTCAGCGTATGTGTGCATGTTGACTGGTCCAGTTCTATCTCTTGTTTTCTTTGCCTAGGTCAGAGGATCCACCCCCTATTTGCACAATGAGGTTTTAGAAATTTTTCTTCTATTGTATCTTTGAATACTTGTCTAATTTTTTGTTATTTTGATATACTTTAAAGTTCTTGTGGGTCAGAAAGATAGTGCAGCCAGTAAAGCACTTACTGCCAAGCCTAACTGCTGAGTTCCATCCAGGAGACCCACCTGCTGGAAGGAGAGATCCAACCCCATCAGATTGTCCTCTGTCACCAGATATGCATCCTGCTCCTCCCAGGGGAAAAAAAACACACCTGAAAATTAAATAAAACGTAATAAAAATGTTTTTATTCTTTATTTTTGTCATCTTTGAAAGGTTTTTACTTTTCTTAAGATCAATGTAGGCTCTTATCCTTTGCATAACATCTTTTTTTCTAAAGATTTATTTTTATTAGTTCTATATATGTGTGTTTGTATATACACACACACATGTGTGTGTGTGTGTCCCCGTGTGTATATAGGTACCTACAGAGGCCAGAAATGGGCATTAAATCCCCTGGAGCTAGAGTTACTGGTTGTTGTGAGCAGCCTGACATGAGGCTGGAAACCAAACTCAGGTCCTTTGCAAGGACAGTATCTTAGTTAGGTTTTTATCACTGTGAATGGATACCATGACCATGGCAACTCATAAATGAAAACATTTAACTGAAGTAGTCTGCTTAAAGTTTCAGAGGTTCAATCCACTGTCTTCATGGCAGGGAGCATGGTAGCATTCAGGCAGATCTGGGGCTGGAGCTGAGAGTCCTACATCTTGACTCAGAGGCAACAGGAAGTTGACTGAAAGTCACACTGAAGGGAAGCTTGAGCAAAAAAGACCTTAAAGTCCTTCCCCACAGTGACACACTTCCTCCAACAAGACCACACCTCCTAATGGTGCCACTCCCTATGGGGGCTATTTTCCTCCAAACTACCACAAACAGCATCGCTTTTAAACACTGCCCCATCTCCAGCCCCTATCCCGTGTGCTTTTGTTTTTGTTTTTGTTTTTTAAGCCTCCCCTATTGATCTCTAGCTAGTTTTTATCAATGTCAATTCTGTTATTGTTGTTGTTTTCCATTTCTGTGGCTTTAGTCTCTAACACCAACCTTTTCCTCTTTGCTACCTTCTTTGTTGTCTGGGAAATTTAATTTCAGCTCCTATTTCAAAGAAAAGTCACTTTTGTTTAGATCCTATGGGCTCACCAAGAGTCTTGAAGTTTCCATTTACCCTGTGGATGGTTCTTCAGTAGAGACCATTTCTGTGCATTTCCCCGCATCTCATGTGAGTTTTTGGCTGTTGTTGCCCTGATCATTGTTCTGTTTGCTTTCTGAGACCTTTTGGGAGGAAGCACCACCCTTGTCTCAGGACACTTTCCCTATGGATTTTGTTTCTTCTCCACTGCTCACCTGTTACAGATCTTGCTGCCTTTGCTTCCTCTTGGGAGAGCACTCCTGTGGCACCACAGTGAGTCTCTGCGTGTCATGAGTTTTCTGCTAGATGACCGGTCCTCAACAGCATTGACTGCTTGCTATCTTAGTCAGTGTTCTGTTGCTATTAAGAGACACCATGACCATGGCAACTCTTACAAAAGAAAGCATTTACATGGGGCTGGCTTACAGTTTTGAGGCTTAATCCATTATTGTCATGACAGGAAGCATGGCAGCATGCAGGCAGACATGGTGCTGGAGAAGGAGCTGAGAGTTCTACACCCGGATCAGCAGGCAGCAGGAGGAGAGTGAGACACCATGCCTGGCTTGGGCATTTGAAATCTCAACGCCTGCCCCCAGTGACACACTTCCTGCAACAAGGCCATGTTGTAGATGGACACTTCTTTCCCACCTGCCAGTTCCCAAATAAACACTTATATTAATTACGAATGTTTAGCCGATAGCTCAGGCTTGTTACTAGCTAACTCTTACACTTTAAATTAATCCATATTTCTTATATACCCTCTACACATGGCTCATGGCTTGTTACCTCATTTTTTACACTTCCCTCTGCATATGCTGGCATCTCTCTGATTCTGCCCTTCTCCATCCTCAGTGTGATTGGCCCACATACACTTCATGCCTGGCTATCAGCCAATCAGCTTTTTATTAAACCAATCTGAATGACAAATCCTCACAGTGTACAAAAGGATTATTCCACAGTATTTTCCTCTTTTTGTCTAATTAAAAAGGAAGGTTTTAACCTTAACATAGTAAAACTACGTACAATGAAACAGTTATTAAGTAAGAATTACAGTTATAATATCCAGCCCATTTGTATTTGACAAATTTAGGGAAAATACTCAATTATCTATCTTATCTTGGTAAGTCTAAAGTTTTATACCTAATTTACTTTCTATCCTAAATAAAGAAAAATGAAATTCTAATTACTTAGTCTTTAACTCCATCAAAGACTCCAGAAGGAATTAATATTACCTAACAACAGAGACGTCTGCCTGGACAGTGACCTAAAGTTCATCTGCAATGTTAGGGCATCCATCTTCAGCCTACAGGCCTAGAGTACCTGGCAGACTTTTCAGTGAAGCAGGAATCTTGAAGTACTGGCCTGCCTTGTTTTGGCAAAATTCAACAGTCACTTTCTTGTGGGTCCTGCATGTCCAGTCTGCACAGCACACAGTCAAGCAGTCAAGGCAAAAGCAGTTTCTTGCTCAAATGGCTAATCTTGTCACAATTAAAGCAAACACCATATGGAGTTTCTTTGATGCTCATCACCCTCTTTTGAAGTAGAATGGTACTACCAGGAACAGACTTGTCTCATATCAAGAAAAGTCTAAATTATTAAAATATTTTAAATGCCATATTTTGTAGGTCTTTGAAGTGTTTGAAGATTACCTATCTATCTAAAATATATTTCTGTATCTCCTTGAAAACCTAACTAACATGACTGTAAGTTTGATAACTACTAACCTGTGTTTCTTTATTATCCTAAATAGTTTGTAATAATAACTTTCAAGGACTATAAATTTACATTACATTGTTAAATGAGTTGCATAAGTACAATACATTAAATGAGTAGAAATGTATGTACAGTATCTTCTAACAAAAATAACCTTAAATTGTAGCAATATACAAAAATATGTTAAGCAAGAGTAGAAACATATATACAGTATAACAAAAATAACATCAAATTTATATCAGTATACAAAAATCCATACCAATGTAAAACTGATATTTGATATCAGTTCATTTAAGACTAGTAGTTGCTTTTTTGGTTTAAAAGTAGATTCAATAATCTACCCTTTTATCCTATCATTTCTATATCCCCTGCTTTTTCTTTTCAGAACAAAATCATTGACTCTAATCTCCTTTCTTAGCTTTTTTTCCTGACCATTACCAATAACAGCTTGTAGCCAACTCCCCTTAAATGATAATAAACATCCATAACACAGTTTTCGGGAATGTGGGTGTTGTTCTCTAGACTACTTCCTGTTGTTTGTGGGCTCTGTTATCTTTGGGGGAACCTTGATAAAATCTGTATAATCATTAGGTCTTAGCTGGAGTAGTTTGTGAGGCTGGACCATCTCAGCAGCAGCCTTGAAACTGTTCTGGATACTGGATTACCTGGGCCATCCATTTTCTTTTCTTTTTTTTTGTTTTGTTTTTTGAGACAGCGTTTCTCTGCGTAGCTTTGCACCTTTCCTGGAACTCACTTGGTAGCCCAGGCTGGCCTCGAACTCACAGAGATCTGCCTGCCTCTGCCTCCCGAGTGCTGGGATTAAAGGCGTGCGCCGCCGCCGCCTGCGCCACCACCGCCTGGCGCCATCCATTTTCATTGGTATCTGGTCTCTTGTTCTGAAAATACATCAACTTTTAAAGGTAACATATATTACAAGTATGGAATATGTGGTATATACAAGTCAATTAAAGATGATTTTGGTTTTATGTTTGAACAAGTAGAATATATGTCACATATTTTATAGTTCTAGGTTTATTTCTTTATGTCTGTAGTCAGGATTTCAGGAGGTGTCCCTGATCAAACCTGATTTTTTTAACCCAGAATGAATCTACCACTTCTCATTTCCTATGGAAATAAAAGCACAACCTCTTCCCCAAACAACATACCTTCTGACTTTGAAGTAAAGATATTTTAAAAATATATAGGTTTGTTTAATCTAGCAGCTTTTATAATCAATTGTCTCTTAGCAGTTACCATTTGCTCATTAGCAGTGAAAAAAAATCTAAAGACAACACAATGACATACAGGATCCAGACCTCTGTGTATTTTCCATATTTATGTGGCTTATTGTATTTTTTATTATTCTATTCCTTTTTAAGGACTTTATTATTTTAAAACTATGTTTTTAATCTAAGACTGTATATACTCTTTCTCTCCCAAGCCTATGTATATTTTTAAGCACACTGTTTCAGAGCTTTTTTTTTTTTTTTGGTCTGAATCCTTTTTTACTATGTATCTTTATCCTTTTTCTGATCACAGGCCTTTAAACTGGGAACTGCTTCTCTGTACTGCACCTGGCATGAAAGACTATGGGAACCTGCCACAGTTCAAACCTGCAGGCAATGGCCAAGAGCGTCCCTGTACTGCATGAGAGACATGAGATTAGGAAGCTGCTCTTGCTTTGTTTCTGTGTGTCTAGAACCCTTTTTCAAAGCTCTGTCAGGCTTCACATGGAAATTCTGGCCCCATGTTGGAATGCCATTTGTAGGCAGAGTTTTTTGTCCCAGCAGTGTGCCCAAATAACCACACAAGAGTTTTTTTGTAAATTGTAAATGCTTGGCCAATAGCTCAGGCTCATTACTAGCCAATTCTTACACTTTAAATTAACCCATATTTCTGATCTACCCTCTCTGCACATGACTTGGTACCTTTTCTCAGTACGGCACGCCCATCTTGCTTCTCTGCATCTGCTGACAACTCTCCTGATTCTGCCCTTCTTCATCCCAGCATCCTCAGTTTGATTGCCCCGCCTATACTTCCTGCCTGGCT